AGCACAAAGATCTTCAGTTAAATGAGCAAGCAGGCCGTGTGGCAAGGGAATGTCTGGAGCCATCGAAGTGCTTACTCCTTGTGGGATTCCTTCTCTCTCCCCTAAAGTTTCAAGAATACCTGGCCCAGTCAGCCTCAGACTGACTACTGGAATTAAATTAACAGTCCTCACAGGTGGCCCTTTATTAACTTGGCTGGGTAGTGTGTAATTAAAATCCACAGGTAGTCCAGAAACTTCACTGGAATCAGTAGCTGCAAGCCTCCGTCTAGATAGACCGGGGATGCTTAAGGGGTGAGGGGACTTTGTTCAGAATTATCCCCTTTCCTAACTTGCTCTTGAGTATACTGAAACCAAGAAGCAGGAAACGGCCAAATCATACACAACTGAAAGAAAAGCAAAAGGCATGACTGAATCATAAGTTGGAATCCTTCCTGTCAGCTTTACCTATGAAAGAGCTGTGTGATTCATCTTGCCCTCTCCAGTGTTTTGAGTTCAGCTCCTCCTCACCTCTTCCCCTCCCTGGCAACAGGACACTCCCAAGCCTGCACATCTACTGTCTTTGTACCCCTCCAAGTAGAAAAATCATAAAAAGGGGCCCATTTCTCTGAGTTGATGCAGCCCACAGTCAGGTGAGCAGGGCCAGGGTTATATTTCAGACCCACCTACTTAGCCAGTGTTCTGGTGGAGTGCATGGACTGTACAACTGCATGGGGGGCCAGTACACCCTCTCCCACCCCATCTGGTGCCCCATCTATACCATCCACAGTGCATACCACCAGCATGATCTTCCTCATATTCTACTCTGTTTGCACACTGGCTTCAAGGTCTCCAATCTTCCACCTCTGCACCCAACACCCAACACAATATGAAACCTGCCTCTCTTTTCAGCCTTTTTGCCACCTTTGCTCACAATTCCTAAGCATCTGCCAAACTAAGCTTGGACATGCACACTCCTTTACTCCTGTGTGGCTTTGCACATACAATTCCTTTAGACTAGAAAGCTCTTCCAGGGCACCTGGGTCGGTCAGTCTGTTAAACGTCTGACTTGATTTCAGCTCAGGTCATGATCTCGTGTTTCATGAGTTCATGGAACTGTGAAACTGTGATGTTAGCACAGAGCCCACTTGGGATTCCCTGTCTCCCCCTCTGTCTGTCTGCCCCTCCTCCTTCCTGCACTCAGGAGAGTCTCTCTCTCTCTCAAATAAATATTTAAAAAAAAGAAAGTGTTCCCCCTATGTTTGCTTGGTCTATTTCTAGTCATTTAAAAAAATAATTTTATGTAAAAGAAACATGACCTTATTTTAAAACTTGGAAAATGCAAAGAACTATGGGGAAACTCCAGATTAAAAGGTTAACTGTGATTCACACTTCTGATTCTTTGCTTTATTTTTTCAAAATATTTTCTATACATGTATATTTATGGATCATACCTTTAAAGTTTGTATCTTGCTTTTTTCATCTAATATTACATTGTAAGATTCCTTCTGAACTATAAACTATTTGAAGACATCTTTTTTAATGGCTGCATAATTCTCATGTTTATTTGTGTATACAATTGATTCTTTTTTTAAAATATTTTTATTTATTTCTAGGAGAGAGAGAGAGAGAGAGACAGCGTGAGCAGGGGAGGGTCAGAGAGAGAGGGAGACACAGACTCTGAAATAGGCTCCAGGCTCTGAGCTGGCAGTCAGCACAGAGCCTGACACCGGGCTCGAACCCACGAACCGCGAGATTATTACCTAAGCAAAAGTCGGCGCTTAACCAACTAAGCCACCCAGGCGCCCCTACAATTGATTCTTAAACATGAGGAGATAGAGCTATCATCAAAAACTTGTGTGTAACTTTTGACTCCCCCAAAACTTAACTACTAATAGCCTGCTGTTGACTGGAAGCCTTACAGATAACATAAACAGTCAATTAACACATACTTTGCATATGTTTTATATACTGCATTCTGACAATAATAACTCTTTCTTAAATTTTTTTTGTATCTCTAATCTACACAGTTTGTGAGTTTTTTTCAAATTGTTGAAAACCTTCCAAATTTTTTCCAATATATTTGAGAAAATAAATCACAAAAAAGTGAACCTGTGTAGTTCAAACCTGTGTTGTTCAAAGGTCAAGTGTATAGTATATCTGAAGAGTTTGTTTAACCCTTGTTTGGTCTTTAGATGGCTTCCTTTTCATTTTTTTTCAGATAATAAATAACACTACAGAGCAGAGTTTAGCACATCACTATGACAGTCCTTCTGTTTATTCTAGAGAGCACTTTTAGGTTCTTGTTACGTGCTGTCAGATTGCTATCCAGAAAAGGTAGTCAAATTTACAAATTCACCAGTCACATTCCTCTTATTTAATAAAATCCTCTCTGTTATTGAGACTCAATTTGTTTTTTTGGTTTAGTCCTTGATAATTTCATTTTAATTTGTATTTCTTGGATTAGGTTGGAAATTTTCCTACATTTATGAACCACATACAGTTCCTCTTATGCAACTATCTCTTGGGGTCTTTTGTCCAGGATTCAGCCAGAGTCAAACTTCCTACTCATTTTCAACACTTAAGCATCTCGTCACTGAGAAGCTCTCCTGATGATCCCACACACAACCCCAAGTTCAGACCTCATCTTCTAATTGGTTTATGTGTGCCCATTTACTCTTGGGACTTCTAAACGTTATTGTAACTGTTTACTTGACTGTCTCCCTCACTGGACAATGAAAACCTTATGGGTTAGGGCCAAGTCTTAGGTATTCTTTTCTTTAGCACCTAACCAATTGTCTGTCACAAGGTATGTGTCAGTTAAGACTTACTTAATGATCTAATGAATAAATGAAAAGAAATAGAAGATCATTGAAGAATGGACTTCTAACTTAACTTGGCTTTCACCAAGATGGTATATCTACACTTTGTATTAAACAGAAAGGATCACTAAGTCCTTGGATAAAGCTTTGCAAACTTGTTTAGACTAATATAAATGCTAATAGAAGAGCATATAAAAATCCACACTATGGGGCGCCTGGGTGGCTTAGTCGGTTAAGCGTCTGACTTTCGCTTAGGTCATGATTCGCGATTCGTGGGTTTGAGCCCTGCGTCGGGCTCTGTGCTGACTGCCAGCTCAGAGCCTGTAGCCTATTTCAGAGTCTGTATCTCCCTCTCTCTCTCTGACCCTCCCCTGCTCACGCTGTCTCTCTCTCCTAGAAGTAAATAAAAATTAAAAAAAAAAATCCACACTATGAAACCGTGAGGGAATGAAATATGACTGGCAACTGTTTATTCAAAAAAAGAAAACTAAACACTTTTCTTTCATTTAAAGAAACTTCCTCTGCAAAATATTATAAAATTATGTTTATTGACTCATCTGAGACCTTACCAAATTATCTTGACAGTTATCATAGCATACCTTCCAAAAGGAGAGCACAATAAAAGAGGCACCTCCTCTGACAATAAAACACATATGTATTTACCTGTTAAATATACAAATAAAAGTTAAACTTGAAAACAAATGCAGTTTTTATCAAGTCATCCTCTCAAATCATAGCTTGTATATTCCTAATTTGGCCATTTCACAGTTTTGTTATACCTAAAATAAACAAACAAACATATATACATACATAGAGATCTAGGCTAATATATCTCTGAGATAAACCAGAGATGGAAAATGGGGTTGCTGCTACACTGGAAATAAGGCAAACATTCTTCCCTTTGGAAGGGATGGCTGGGTGGGGGTCTTGGGACTATTTAAATGCAGCCAGGTGTCCAGCTCAGAGTCTCTGAGTGTGCTGTGGAAGAAAGGGACCTCAGAGGGGCTGAAACCCCTCAGACATCAAAGGTGCAAGTTCTTACCTACAAGCTGGATTTAGAGTTTCTTGTTTGGCTTATTAGCCGCAACCATATTTTCCCCACTTTTCCATTTTGGCCATAGTGTTTTTACCTTTGTAAACATTTAAATGTACAATTAAAGTGCTCACTTGTGCTCCATCTGAGCCACATCCTGCTCTGATTTTGAAAGCATAGCTCTCAGGGACTTCACTATGATCTTACTGTTCCCACAAAGAGCAGAATATGGCTGTTAATAGGTGGATGGTTAAGGTTGTTGACATCATCCTCAGTTGAGGCTGGCTGAGTCCTGGGTGCACTTTTCTCTGTGCCAAATGCCCTACTGTTTCACACAGCCAAACGCAGTGAACGTGACTCTCTGGGAAGTCATACGTCACCATTTTTCAAAGAAGCATAAATCTCTCCTGCAAAGAATCCATTAATATAATAAACAGATAAAATGAAGTTTCCAAAAATTGAAACATTTTGTAACCCACTCCCAAATTTTGATTCCTACTGACACTCCTACCTGAATATACAAGAAACTAGACTTCAAAAGATAAAAACTAGTTTTTCTTCTCCGAGTTGGGGACCACTGTCACATCTTGCCTCATGTCTACTTATTATGGACTGCCTCTCCACATGAAGCAGTGAGCACCATTCCAGAGGGTGGCCGGCAAAAGCCTCTCCCAAACCCTGACCTGGCTGTGCTTCTCACCCCACTTCTCTGCGGAGCATCTATAATTCACACTATTATGATACAAAATTAACCAATCAGGTTTCACTATAAATGGATAGGATAAGAAAATTTAAGAACACACATATAATGATAAACAATGGTGTTTCTACTGGAATCTGAATAAACACCCAGCAGTGTCCTCATTCTCTCTAAAACATTAGGGACACCACTCCCAAATGTTGGAACAATTAATGTCATCGCTTTAAGACTGTTCACTTCGGTTACACTATATGAAATTGCAGTTGCTGTTCATAACTCGAAATGAGAATATCGACTGAACTGGTTTATGACTACAGAGTGACCACAGATTGTTAAAAATGTTATCAAACACTTTTGAAAACACATTGAGGTGTTTTGTTCTGGGAGATGGCTTTTAAATTGTTAAGTTTTTTTTTTTTTTTTTAATCATGGTTCTTTGACAGAAAATGTGACGTACTCCTCAGCTTACCAGAGACTGGGTGGTAAAACACTGTCACAGGCTGGATTCCATGTTTGTTCGGCAGGAATTACCATACCAATTTCTGTCCATAAGAGGCCTTATGAAAATCTTGTGAAAAGACATCCGAAATACCGGTGTTCTGAAAATTATGAAAATCCAAGGGTCCACAATGGAGATTACAGATAGAAAACGCAAGGCTCGGAGGTCTTCCATTTCTTCGAAGGCTCTGTTTTTCTCATTGACTGCTTTAAATGCTTCATAGTAAGCACGATACTGTTTTGAAGAAAAACATCCCATTACGACAATGAAAGGCTGATGGTAGAAACAAATTCACTTACCTCATTTTGGAAACATTAATTTCTTAGGAACATCGTGACTTGGCTTGGAATATTCATTTTCGGTAAATTTGTGATCAGCAAAGGCCACTGCAGCTGATAGAACAAGTGAGGAGTTTGGAAGGTGCAGGGCCCACCTGAAGGCTCAGCGGAAGCAAATGCTCCCAGGAGAGGGGTCTGAGTCCCTGAAGGCTGCTCTACTTGCTGTGAAGCTGCGCGGCTGGGATTTCCAGGTCCCTGCTGGGCTGTGCAGAGGATGAGCGGACACGGGGCATGGGACAAACCCAGGCCACCAAATCTTTTACAAACAGGATCACTACACTTCTGCAAACACCGAGATTCTCTTTTCTCCAGTTTTCCTTTCATTCTCCTGCCTGCTTCCTGTCCTCCTACTACCCCAGAAATAAGTCTTGCTTGTGAAATGTTGCATGTTTGGAGACAACGATGAAAGAGAAACTTTTAATCAACAAGGAGACAGGAAATACTCCAGTGGGGAAGATAGGAGGAGACTCACACAGGACCTGTTTAACTCATTCGAATTACTTATTCTTAGGATAGATGGTTATCTTTCTGTGGTTGACATCCTCTTTTCAGACTAGGACACACACACACGTACGCGTGAGTGCACTCACACTCACACACACACACACACACACACACACAGAAATATAAGGCTACTTACTTGTGCTTGACCACTCCTATCGTCGATCTTCCCCTGAAGTCTCTGGCCTCCTTGGAGCCCTGCAAACTGTCCCATCCCATGGCTTTTCCTGCCACTGAGCCACCATGGCCAACACTTCAGCCAGCACTACTGTTGCCTGCCACTCCGCTGGGGGCCAGCCATTATATTCCCTATGCCTACTGAGAGTCTAAATCCATAATGGGACAAAATGGACTTGAATGGGACAGAAAGCATGCAAACTCACCATTACTGGGAGGGGTTATGAATAACTGTCCACACCAGACCAATTCAGTGCAATCAAGGAATATGAGATGTGTTTTCCCGTAATTGCTTCCTTACTTTTTACTCTATTTTCTATAGAGCATTTCAGTGTGTGCAGACATTCCCATCTTAAGTGCACTTAAGAAGATACACTTAGGGGCACCTGGGTGGCTCAGCTGACTGAGCACTGACTCTTGGTTTCAGCTCAGGTCATGACCTCATGGTTCATGGGTTTGAACCCTGAGTCAGGCTCTACTTTGACAGTGGGGAGCCTGCTTGGGATTCTCTCTCTGTCTCTCTCTGCCCCTCCACTATCCACATGTGTGCCCTCTTCCTCTATCTCAAATAAATCAACGTTTTTAAAAATAATAAACATATGGTATTTGTCCTTCTCTGCCTGACTTATCGCTCAGCATAACACCCTCAAGTTCCATCCATGTTGCTACACATGGCCAGATTTCATTCTTTCTCATTGCCATGTAGTATTCCATCGTATAGATAAACCACATCTTCTTGATCCATCCGTCAATAGTGGGAGAGAGGCAAACCATGAGAGACTCTTGAATGTTGAGAATAAACTGAAGACTGAGGGCATGGCGGGGGGAGGGGGAGATGGGCATGGAGGAGGGCACTTGTGGGGATGAGCACTGGGTGTTATATGGAAACCAATTTGACAATAAACTACTTGTAAAAATAATAATAATAAAGAAGGTACACTTATATCTAAATGCCCTCTCCCATCATCACTGTCTAAAAATACTAATAATAATAACAACAGTTAGTGCCCACGTAGAGCACTGTTCTAGCGTTTCATTTTAAAAACTTCATTTCATCCTCACAGGAATCCTATGAAGTAAGCACAATCATCATCTCCATTTCAAAGGTGTGGAAACTGAGCATGTTACTTTAAAACGTTTTGGATTTTACATGCCCAAATCCTAGCTCCTTTCAAGGCCCATCTCAAACATTAAGTCCTTCAGGAAGCCTTTTTGAGGTAGCGGCTAAGCCCATTAGCTTTAGAGTCTGACTGTGGGGTTAGATGGAGTCCTCTCCTTGGCTGTATGAAATCAGGCAAGTTACTCCATCTCCTCACCTACATAATGGGGATCATCGTACCTGTCTTCCATGACTGTTTTGAAGTTTGAATAAGATGACAGGAGTAAAATCTTGACAACAGGTCTTAGCACTATTATAGAACTCAAAACTTTGCCAGTATCATTATCTTATCAATTAGCAGCAATACCTTTTCTCCTCTAAACTCCCTTATGGTCCCAATCACTCCATCCCTTGCCTTGTATTATAGCTTATGTGGGCAGTGGTGATGTTCTTCTCATTTTATATCCCCACAATGAATTACAGCATTGAATGTTGTTGGTACCAGATACATGCTGAATCTGATAAATAGTCAACAGCAGGCTACATGCTTAAGTTGATTTGAAAAGCAAATACTTTATGTAAGTCTGTTTTTACATTTGTTACTTTCTCCTCAAAGTGAAGTAGAGCAAAATATAATTTTAACTATTTCATAATACTTTATTAGTTGGGATCTGAGTAACTAAATGAGATTTACATAACTAAAACAAACCACTGTGTTTCTATGCAGTATTTGTCCATGTCAGTTCTATTGCATATTATTGGGTTATTTGTATTTTCAAGTCACTTGATTTATTAGAAACGTATTGTTCTATGAATGGCCTTCTAATTTATATGGGAAATGCATTGTTCTATACCTGGTTTTTTAATTTTATTTTTATTTTTTGAGTTTACTAAAAATGTGACAAATTTATTCATTTATAACATATTCTATTAATTCTGAAAAGATACCAATTTAAACACAATTTAGACTTTCAAAACATCTCTGTTGTTCAATACTATTCTCTAGAACATACTTTATTTATAAACTGCCCCTATAAAAGATGGCCAGAATAATGAATAACCTCAGAATATACCCCCACATGTTTAAAGTAGTTCAATTTACATAGTGAATGGGTGTGAGACGAGCTCCCTCTCCTGGACGTAAGTGTCCATGAAATAAATGCTGCTGTTGCCAACTTGCTGGAGACTTAAGTAGCGGGACATCCCTGTTGAGGAGAGCTCTCTAGATTCTAATGCCCCTTCTATCCAGTTTATCCATCACAACACCCAGACCTCATCCTCTGCTCTAGCCCTTTAAATCCACTTTCAACTCACTTCCCTGGACCCAGGTTTTGCCCACCTCTATCAGCCTCCTTTGAAAGGAGCACTCCACCCCATTCTTTTCGCCCATCAAAATGAAATACATACATGAGTTCTCTCAATACATGCAGGATGTCCTCTGTCACTTCTGTGACTCCATGGATTCTGATATATGCAATTATACAAGCTCGTACTTGTCTTTACCTGGCTTGTAAACTTCTCAGCTATCATGGCTTATCTATATCCATCCCTGCTTCCCTACCAACCTCCAATACATTGTGGGTCTCAAGGTAAAATGAATTTTGATGAAAATATGTTACATGCATTAAGGAATGTGCTGTGAACTGCTTCTAAAGATCATCCCGTATTCTCTATATTTTCTTCCCAAAAATGTTTTCAAATTGGAAATCTGAAAGTTTAATTTAGCTAAGTCTTGCTCAAATGCAGCATTATAGCAAAGTTAATTTTAAAAAATCACACCTCAACAAATTTTTCATTGGCTTAGTGAAATATAATATTCATGCTATGAGCAAGGGTTTTTTTCTCCCTTCACATATAGCCTTTATTTTTTCCAATCACCAGGTCCATTCCTTAGGAGAGTGATTTTCAAAGTGTGGGGGTTTCCAATACCCATTCAGTGTGTCTTCAGGGTATCATATCACAAAAAAGATACAATATAATAAAAAAGATTTATTTGCCTTTTTCACTCCTAGGTGTACAGTAAGTTTAACCAAGGATACCTGATGTGTAACGACATTATCACTCAATGGCTAATGTAATACATACTGTGTGGTCTTGTGTTTGCTACACCTTTCTTAGGTAGTTGATTTTGGATACACACATATGTTCATTTTCAGGGAATGTTCTCAGTACTTCCATGCTAACATGCTTTTTTTTTCTGCTTTACCTGCTTTGATCTCTAGAACTTTATTATCACTCATTATATCTTTGTGAAAGCCCCAAGTTTTCCTTACACTGATACAGAAACACAAGAAAGAAGTACACGTTGCTAACTTGTTTTGCAATAATATTTAAAAATTTTCTTATTTAAAATTTCTAATATGATAAATATTAACAGATATAATCTACAAAATTTCTTTGTATCCTTAATAATTTTTAAGAGTGGAAAGGGGTCCTTAGACTCAAAAATATTAGAAAACCACTGCATTAGAAAACAGTGCGCATGGGGAGGAGTTAAGATGGCAAAGTATAAGGGGACCCTGCCCTTGTCTCCTCCCACAAGCACAGCTAGATCAACATCAAACTGTTCTGAACACCTAGAAAACAGATCCGAGAATTAACAGAGCAATCTGCATAGTTTGAGGGAGAGAACACAGCAGGGTACATGGTGTAGAGAGGTGGATCCGGGGAGAGAAGAGCAGAGGTGATGCAGAGGGGAGGCAGAAGTATTCAGAGAGGAAGAAGGCAGACAGGGAGACAACACAGCATGTTGGGTTTGTGCAAGAAGGCACTCCCCCTGAAAGAGCAGAGAGAAAGAGTGAAAATACACACGGGGGACTACACCAGAAAACTGCCCCCCAGAACCACTGATGGGGGAAAAGGAGAGGGTTTCAATGCCCCCAGTTTCTTATAAACAGCAGAGCACAGAGTCTGAAGTTTCAGACGTCAGCCCTTGTGGGTGCTCAGCCAAGGAAGTGGGGTGGAGCCGGGGGCAGTGGGGTCTGAGGACGCCTGGGTTGCTCAGGGAGAAGTGGTTCCCTTGCTTGGAGTGCACTTGGTAGAGGTGATACTGCCTCTCCTGGGCAAATTACCCTCAGGCACCACCAAGTCGCTGGTTCAACTGTACAGGAACAAAGATG